TTTTAATTTGTATCTTATTTGTAATATTATTATCATTTTATGCTGCAATAGGTCATTGTCGGATGAAAATTTGCCAAACAATTGTCCTGAGAGACCTAATGTAAGTGAGCATGCATTGAGTGACCATGCCCTGGAAATTAAACCTTGGTTAACTGGGTTGCACGTTACAATATTTGTTATTATATCACAGTATGATTTATATTTGTGTTCATATTCCTCATATGTATGTATGTATGTATGTATGTATGTATGTATGTATGTATGTATGTATGTATGTATGTATGTATGTATGTATGTATGTATGTATGTATGTATGTATGTATGTATGTACCACCGTGTCGGCCTATTCTCAGCGTCGTGTAGGCTAATTCTGTGCAACGATACGTCATTTCTGTAAACATTGGATCACGTGTTGAGTTTGGTTGAAAATCCATTTTGTATCAAGAAAGAACTATTGTCCTTTAACTAAGAAAAGTTATATTCATGAAGTGCACAATATATCCCATGTTTCCATTATATATATTTATGAAAATGTGATTTTTTAATGTCAACATGAAGACCCACTCGATGACCTTCTCGAACTTGTAAACCAGAAAAAAACCTATTTAATATCCATCGTTTTAGAATCATACAAATAGATACATTGTTTAAAAGATAGAAATGTTTATCTTAGAATAATACATCATCGTAATCAAATTTTCTAATTTTTCAAGTTGCCCCACACATACTTTATTGTCTGCTATACAACCCGTCAAATTACCGGATTAGCAAAATATTCCAGGGCGTATAATCTGGTCACAAATTCATTAGCGATTTTTTCTTTCCATAAATGAGGCGTTATAAACACATTACATCTTATTCATTGTTGCTATCTTCAACATAATAGTTTATTTGTTTTTATAAAATGTGTAACTTTTATTAATTTTTACAAGATCGGTTTAGATTGCTTTGTATTTCTTGCTATTTAGTGGTATTGCTACGTTGAACACTTTTAAATAAGCTACCAAATTGACCTAGTTCCTCGCCTCAAATGCTGTTAGAAAAAACAACAAAACAAATTAATGCATTTCATTTACATGTCCTGTTGTATAAATATTATATCTTTTCAAAGACTTGCGCACAATAGGCCGACATATCGCTAATCATGAAAACACAGCGGTATTATCTCTTCTGTCCATATTTAGTAATATTTTGAACAAATTATTCTGGCGATAATGATTGCTTTTCAAATGCTAAGCATTGCAGAATTTTTGTTTTAATCAATCAGACTCATTCTATTGGGACGGAAACCTTGGATGCGCAAAAAACCATGGGTGTATATGCAACTTTTATCTATTATAATAATAATAATAATAATAATAATAATAATAATAATAATAATAATAATAATAATAATAATAATAATAATAATAATAATAATAATATTTTTTAAATGTAGTCAAAGCATCGACATTTAAGTGCTATTTAATTATGAATATAAAAAATATTTAGAAAAAATATAATGAAGCTATTATTATTTCGGGATTTTTTTTGATGATTAAAAGAGTATATTTTACTTTCAAGACATTTATATGATTCAAAGAATTTGTAACTGAGGTTTCGTCTTCCTTTTATAAATGTACTCATAATATCGGTCGTTATTTTGCTCTACGTACCGGTATATAGTATGACTATACTAGATTTTATATTAACTTGCGCTGACGTCCGCGTGACAAATGCATCTTACGAGGTAGAATAGGTTGTTTCGCTTCGTAAAACTAGCGTGGCGGTAACATTACACTCTTCCTTGATGACTGCATTTATCCAAATTACAAACGCTTACGATGACCAAACAAAGTATGGTTTCAAATTTGAATTGATTAAATAATACTAAGCTATAGTCCGATGCTACACCCCCGTTTGTTTGTACACCCCTACCGGTTTCAATAACTAAAATGTTTAATGTGATAAAATGTGCACAAAACTAAGTCAATTGAATCATTGATTTATAATTCCTAACTTGGCTGTGACCAGAATGGTACTAATATTGGAATCCCCTTGCACCTGTCATGCTTATCAGTCTTTCCATACTAACACGGCGCCATATTCAGTACACTATGGGGTAGTTTATTTCCATCCGACCATATAATAACTTAATTCGGTAACTGCCGCATAAGTCCGTAAATTACCATAACGTTGAGTCTGGAATTATATTCCTTTGCACACACGAACATATTAATGAAACCACTTGTTAAATTCATGTGAAAGGCATTTTTTGGTCATTACTTTCCTCTGCTTTATTAGACACCTTAAATATCGGACGCAGACGACATATGCATGTACATCTTTAGTCGTGTGCATACAACCCTTTGCTGAAAATGGATTTGTCCAGGAACTGGAAATGGGTCTCAGGAATGTCGGTCTATAATTCTGAAAACTTCCGTTAAGAATGAAACGCGCAGACAATGATGGTGTAATGCCATTTTTCTAACAGTCTGGTTAAAAAATATAAATCAATGAATGAATTGACTAAGTTTCTTCCACTTTTTATCAAATTAAATATTTCCGTTATTAAAATCGGTAGGGGCTAAAAAAAACAAAACAAAAAAAAAAACAAACAAAAAAACCAAAAAACAAACAAAACAAAACAAAAAACAAACAAACAAACAAACAAATAAACAAACAAACAAACAAACAAACAAACGAAAAAAGACGGAGACGCCGTAGCATCGGACAATAGACTGTAATTGTGCCAATATTTTAAAGACAGGACGTGATTTATGGTTTATTATGGACAAGACGGTTTTCCTCGTTACTTACAATTTACTTAGAAGTCAAAAGTGTGCTTATATTCCTACAAGGGAGGACACTTCCCTCCCTGCTCGCACAAATAGAACGCTGATATTCCAAGCTACGCTTTGCAATGCGTAGAAATTTGGCAACCAAATTAGCTCATGCATTCCAGTTTGTATGTTTGTTTGTACCTTTATTGAATGTCAGGCTAGTTGCCCACACTACCGATCGATGTCGCCATAATTGTGCCTACAAAAAATACAGGTGCAACAAAAAAAGCTGAATGAAATGCTGTTATCAATGATCAGCTGAAGATACCATACTACGCTTACTGATAAACTGATTTCAATGGATATTATGGTCCAAGTCAAACTAACATTGTACTGTAATGTAGTTTGAATCGACTGAATGTTGTCCACTTTGATCTCACAATAAAAACTTTGCGAGTTGAAAACTTCTTACTACCATTACATCAATGTAGAATTCCATTGCGATAAAAAATCTATAGGGTCGAAGCTTCGGATCACTCAATAATTATGATTTACATTCTCCTCTAATTAAAAAGCACCTTTGGTTAAACTTTAATTATACTATAATTTAGAGCAACAATTAAATATTAAAATTTTGATTATGAGTAAATACACCTACACGACCACGATATCATATACTTTAAAACTAGCTATAGTGGTATTACATGTGTGACCTTACCTTTTCTTTGTTAGGTTCTTCTATAGCTGACACGACGTTCGATTTACAGGCAGCACACCCCATTAGTTTCTGATGGGTTCTTTTATTGTATCAGAAATCGAAGTATATTTTTCTTTGTTTCACCAGAGTCCTACACCAGTCTCACGGTTTGGTTGTTTGCGGCCTCAATTGTCATTTCAATATCACCGGTCGGGATCGTGTAAACTTTGCTTAGCTAATGACGTCATTCACACAGCAGTGACGTAATTTGCAAAACTGTTAGATTGTTGTTTGTTGTTTGTTGGGTTTAGGTGGCGCTCACCAGTTATTATGTACTTTTGAGAGAATGATATAAGTAAGGTGAAGTTGTTTGCATTTTAAACATGCATAGTGGAGAAAATGTTGGCATACCTATATACTATTTTCATGTAATGTGACTGAAATTTCTTTGGATATTGGACTTTTAGAAATTTTAAATTATCTTAGGATACTGCTAACTAAAGTGACTGCTCCCTTGTGCTCCAAAAATCAACCTGAATTTGTCTAAAGTACACTATTCTTGGCAGCTATTAAAATATGGAAAATAAATTTTGCCAAACTAGACAATACCAGCTTCTAAAAGTGTAATGAATGACTTACCAAATACATAAAATGTAAAAAATGTTAACGGCTCTATTTTTTACAATTTACCTCTGAAGTTCGAGAAGTGAAAATGAGCAAGTAGTACTAGCCCTTTTTTCAAAGGTGCACATCTGGAGTAAGGCCAAGCTGTATACTCTTTTAACCCATATTACACCCATCAATCATACATCACAATAAAGAGAATTAAAGGTTCTTTGAACAATACCTAAGATATACAAAGTCTCTTTTAAATAGCCAGTATAGCTAGTGAGGAAAGCTGGGGAAACTTTTTCTTTACAATTCTTACCCTATGCTAAATACGAAACTGTAGAGCACCACCTTAATGCCATATTCCAGAATACGATAGGTTATACATGGCGGACCATGATAAATCCCCGTAAGAAAAACCGACCAATGGGAAGTTACTGGCAACTTTCAACCCATGAACTATTTGGTTGCTTGCTTTGCATCGGAAACTCGGATACAGGGACAACATTGTACTTTCCTTAAAGATGAAGGATGTCACAAGTCAGTCATAATTTAAAAGAAAACGAGAAGCTGTATCCGACTAAATGTGATTTAAACAGTATAGATTGCAAATTAGTCCATATTTTTGTAGAACTAAACTGCTGGTGTACAATTTTATAATTTGTATAGTACTGCAGTAGAGTGTTCACCAACTCGTTTTGCAAATTTGTATGATGTATTATACTGTAATATTCGCACACACTCCCTCCGTTTTTTTTATTTAAAAGCCCCGAAACTTATCAAGCATATTAAAAGGTACAAAACAGCCATTGAATTCACTGATTTGTAGTTTCCAACCTAGCTGTCGCCACGTGGTCCCTAACACCGTCGACATCTTAATGCTGAATGCTGAGGTAGGCAGCTGTTAGTACTATTTTTGTAAGTCTTTGGTATAAATCGGCCTGGAATCGCACCCACGACCTTCCGCGTCTGAAGCGGACGATCTAACCACTAAGCCACCGGAGTTGTGCGAAAGGGGTCTTTTATATACATGATAATTTTACAATCAATATTAATAACGATACCGGTATGTCAGATGCAGGTTTACCTTCTCCAAAGAAAATTAAAGTTGTATAGGACAGTGTCATAGGTCTCTTCCCTACCCATGATTAAAATTAAGTACGGAAACTCATGCAACATGTTAGTTTTCGTTATGGCCTATGTATAGATCTTTGTTCAGTATACCGTTTCATTATCTACAGTATAACCTTTCTAAATTGGAAGTGATGCAATGAAACATTTTCTAGACAAGGAATCCTAGTTGTAGGGTTCAATTATGTACATCTATGAGGTAAGTCTTGTGACGAAATCAGCTATATAACTCTTTGACTGGGATTTACTTGTCTAGGTGCTGTCACTATTCATGATTGCATCTACGTGTTTGATTTACCAGGGGAAAACTGAGGTAAACATTTACGAATTTTGCTCTCCTGCCTTTAAGAGTCAAGATGATCCTTATTTTTGTATTATCTTTATCCGTTTTTTTAAAAATCTGTTTATAAGATATTGTTTGTTTCCTCCAAAAATATTTTGGTAAATTTCCCTTGATAATATAGTCCTTGGTGCCTGCACAACATGACTGAGACAACTGGTTCGATGTTGTTGTTGTTGTGGGGCTTAACGCCATTTTTTCAGCACACGATAGGCTATACATGGTGGCCAGTATTAATGGTGGAGGAAGAAACCAGGAAATCCGCTGAAAGAACCACCAACCTACAAGAAGCTGATGGAGAGCTTTCTCACATATCCACATTATTGAATCTTAGACTCGAACTCACACAGACAGAGGTGAGATGGCAGTGATCGGTAACGGAGCGCGCTTTAGACCACTCGGCCACTAGGGGCTCTGACATTTGGTTTGAGATAACCTGATTGACATAGCAAGAGTAAGGTAAACAAAACAGGTAGATTTCGCTGACGCATTGCTGATAATTTGATTTCTTCTGATTGCATCGGCTTGCAGTTGTTCATGTATGCAATAAATATCAATGATGATAATTGTAGACATCTTATCTACGTTAGTTCAGTAATAAAGTAGTGTAATTATAAAATAACGGCTTGCATATTATTACATATTACTAATTAATGTTACTAATGTTCTGGATGATTTAATAGATTCTTTGAATTTGGCTTTCTATCTTGCTTACTTATTTTATAGAATGTCTCACTTTTATGCCGCATTAAGAAGAATGGCACAAACAAGCAGCATACGTATTCCAAAATCTAATAATAAGCATATCTCTTGGTTGATGTTTGAGGAAAGGTCCTGGATAGACGGGCATTATCCTCCTTTCACTCCTGTGTGGGAAATAACAAACCAGTCCCTTGTGGTCGCGTTTTGTTCCCGCTATTTTTTTATCTGTTTGCTGTATGTGGACGACTTTTATTATTCAGCAGTATGTGGATACATCTGTCCGGTGTAGACAAGCATTTAAATTTATAATTGTGTACATGTATTACTCCATATGTGCGTAATCACCAGCGTTATGTACCTCTGTTGGCATTTTACAGTCGCTTCGTTTATCCTTCAGCGACTGGTTCGTATTTATTATGAAATATGATATCTAAATTTTTTTTTTAAATGTGGAGTTCACAGTGTAACTTTGAACATAACATTCTGCACCTGCTATATTTCAATTATTAATATTTTTTGTTTGGCATTGGTAGTTTCTCCTCTTGTACTCAGATCTATAGATATAAATTTTGTAAATAGTAATGGTCAGTAAATTATGTGTGGTCCACACAGAGGTAGGGTAGCTGTAAGATTCATTTGTTAGAGAATCGTACACGTACAGTGTGTGTCGCAATTATGCGTGCTCCACATGTAAGTATGTGTATGTACCTTGAAGAACTTGGAAGCAGATTGTCTAGCAATATAATGTACTGTACATGACATTTGATATATTTGTTAGATCAGGACTGTGTATACAACGTCATCGATACAGTAGCGAAATTGATTACTACTTCCCACGTTTTCAAGCACCGCGACCTTCGTTGCTAAACATTGTGGGACTGCTTTGTAGCTTTTCCCGTTGAAAGAACAGCTTATTTTCAATGCGTATTTACTTTACACTTTATTGTGAGAAATCTTTCAGGCCAATAGTTTTCTGTATTTAAAATCGCCTATCATCATTAAGATTATAATGATAACTGCACATACAGACAAAGAATAAGTCTCATTGGACGTACATAGGTGATTTTGTTATATTTTTTGATAGTTCATAAGAGACGATGCGGAAAAAAGGAAAATATCCACTTTTAAAATGGCTGCACATCATGTTGTGGGTTTATCATGTTTATCGCACAATACAAATAGGCAGAATGATAATAAATAAATACATAAATCTAGAAACAATAATATCACCAGTACGTGCATACGTAAGCAATGCTGTTCGTACAGCTAACGACTATTCGTAGACTCACATGGTTTAATTTGTCAATAATTCTTTCTGTCATTGGTTTTTTTAGTGAGACACCTTTTCAGTCTCTTTGAGATACTTACAACGTTCAATCTGGTACAACTTATAATAATGAAACTTCTGATAAGACTGATCAGAAGTCCTACTCCATTCCTTCATACACTTATGCAAGTCAATAGGACACGTTATTTCTGATTGCTATAAATTAAAAAAACCATAATAAAGACATAGCTATTAAAAATGCTCTTTGCTTCTGAGAGGTCAAGTTCATTGGACATATAATGGAAACGATACATTAGTTTGGTCAAGCAAACCTTAATCTTAGTTATTTATGGAGAACTATAACCATTCATATGGAAAGATTCTACATCACCTATTGGTGATTCGGCGAATCCTATGCCTATTAAAGTATTATGAGATACATAAGCTTCTCAGAGTCTTTTTATCAGATACGTTGTCTTAAGCTGGGGAATTTTCTTTCAGGGCCAGTAACTTTATGCGCTGTTGATTCTTTTTTCCTTGACGGTGTTCATTTATTTCTTGACAGTGATTTAGCTGGAAAAAAGGTTGTGGTTAATACAAATTTAACTGACAAACCTTGTTTCGATCGAAAGTTTGTTACAATCGAAAATGAAATCCCCAATATACATCCCACTTGTGCAGTTGCTATATCAATAAGAAGAAAAGTTCTTGAGAAGAAAGCAGATATTATTATTTTGGCTGGCACATGTGTTGGTTAGGCTTTTAATAAGGCAAATTTTTATTTATGTTACTTTTCAGTCATAAGGTGTTGATAATTGTGAATCTCTTTGAATCTATAATTATTTTATATATAATCAGGGTGACAAGCAGAATGGCTTGTAATTGAAGAGGACAAATATCACTAGATCTCCTTTTTGTTTCAGTGGGCTATTAACGAAGCGGACTCCATTGTAGTATCTAAGTCATATAGACAAGAAATGCTAAGTTTAGCCTATGTAACTCTCTTGGCTGGTCATTTGGGATTCAAATAAAACTACCCTAAGATCTTAGGTAATGTTGATTGGCTTCAAATTAAGAGTGATGTTTCTAACTGCTGTAGATCTTGTCACACTTGTCAAATGGTCGGAAAATCTAACCCAAAGATTCATAAGCGTTTTGACGAACCATTAGGCGGAATATATTGCGTAGGTTCTTTACCCAGAGCCAAGCTAGGCAACCGACACTTGTTGGCCATTATGTGTGGTCAACAAGGTTTCCAGAGACAATCCTTTACGGAATAATAAGACTAACACTATTGTAAAAACTAGTGAAGTTCTTAACACATTATGGCCTTGCTAAGTCCGTTCAGTCTGATCAAGGTTCTAAGTTTATGTCAGAGATATTCGAATAAGTTGTGTATGAATTGTGCATTCAACAGTTCAAATCTTCTGCCTATTACATTGAAAGACAGAGGCGTTGGAATGATTTCCTCAGATTGTAAAGAATATGTAAAGATCTTATTATTTTGATACCATATTGATTTGGACGAAGACGTACACTTATTGATGCTTGTTGTTAAAGAGTCGAATCGTTTATTCGTTTTGAAATTGTTTTCGGACACACTGTTCGTGGACCATTGAAGTTGCTGAAAGAAAAACTTATTCTCACAAAAAACATGCTTTCATTTTACTTGACTATATCTCAGATGTTAAATACAAACTATCGAAAGCTTGTGAAATGGCAAGATATGATATCCAGTGTATCCAGTCACAAATGAAACTGAGGTATGACAAAACTACAAGGAGCATAACTTTTCATCCCTGTGATAATGTTCTGGCTCTCTTGCCCATACCTCGGAGTCCTCTTCATGATAGGTATTATAGTTATTATATACTTAAAAGAAGATAAATGATTTAAATTATATTATTGCTACTAACGGGAGGCTTAAAGGGAGACAAATAGTCATAATATGTTAATGTGGTATGTTGATTGAGATGGCTCTATAAATCATTCGATAAATTTAATAGTTACTGCCCCACATAATGACTATTAAAATGATGACGTACAACCAGAAAGTAATGACTTTGGTTCGACAGCCTTCAAAAATATGAAATATCAAATATATGTACCTTAAATGAGGAGAAGATTGAGTTATTGCAGCTAAATATTTGAATATAAGCACTGGTTTCCATATGTTTTACCACAATGCTGAAATTGCAGATTCTAAACCTGTAAAACAACAACTTTAGCGGATGAATCCTCTGAGACATTAATATTTGAAAAAGGCAATTGAATATTTATTGGAGAGTGACTTTACTGATCCAAGAAAACATTACTAGCGTTCAGGATACAGAAATGTGAACGCTATCAAAACGGACTAATTTCCAATCCCGAAAATTTATGTAATTGACCTGTTAAAGAATTCTGGTAGATTACATGTACAGATAGAGCAAAATAAATTTTCGCGTTTGCAGATAAAGTCTATGAATAAAGAGTGATGCAATTTGGTGTGAAGAATTCCCCTTCTGCATTTCCGCGCTTAATGAACATGATAATATCTGGTTATAAATCGCTGTGAATGTATAGA